AAGAGTGAATCATTGAGGTCATTTAGGATCTGGAAAGTACAGCATGATAAAAACAACCACAGATCCCTTGGGAGTTTGTTTAGTCCCTTCCCTCGACTATGGGCAGGCTGTGTCCTATCCTTGAATAGATACAGCACAGGACATCCTGTGTAGGTTTCCCAGCTGGCTAGTTTGGGCTGGAGCTTTCACAGAGCATGCTCTCTGAAAGCCCACATGGGGTGTCTTCCCACCAGGGTGCTAAGCATAGGTGTGAGACTAGGACACTTCCTCCAGATCAGCTCAGTCTCGGCCGGGAACACAACAGGAGGATGCCAAGTAAGGCATCATGAAGCAGAACTGCCCACCCAAGGCCTTGGCTGAATTCCTGATTCACAAAGCTATGGGAGGTGATAAAAAGAATTGCGTAAAGCCATTTGGGCCGTGCAGCTTCTTATGTAGAAATAAGTAACTAAACATTGCTTATTCCCTGGCGTGTTCTCATCTGCGTGTGGTGTATTTCTTTTACCCATGGGAAAAAAAAACCATTGTAAAGTCCAAAATCATCAGTGGCATCGATAACTATCAGTATAATAAACCGTCAGCATAGTACTTACTAGAAGGACAAAAGTTGCATTTGTCCCTGGATGTCTGTAAAGTATTCTCTGCAGGATCCTCCCCCACCTCCCTCCCTACCCACAGACAATAAAATCTGAGCAAGTCCTATCTGTAAAGTGCTGTTTGTCTCCAACCTACAGCCATCTCCCATACACATTATCTGTCTCCAGATTACTTACACTTAGAGAACTGCACATGGCTACTGAACTGCACTGTTTACAGAACAGTGGCTTGAACATCAGTCTGTGTATATTTAGTGCTTTTTATGTATTTTCCCCTCAAATGTTTTTTTGATTTGCTAGTGAGTTGGATTTGGAAATCTAAAACCAGTAACTATGCTCACTCCCTAAGTAAAATATATGCTCCACCTAATGGAGTAAGAGTAGCTTAGGAGTTTTGTGTAATTTATAAAATAGCACACTGCACAGTATTTGGGAGGGACAAGGATACCAGCTGCCCTGTAGTCATACTAGAGGAAACGGGCACTAAAATAATCAAGGTTTGGCTTTAATTCTTGTATGACAGTAGGTCGGTAGCACATTCACATGAAAACGGATCTCACAAATCAGTGATAACAATTCAGGGTTAACAAACACGTTCTACCTGGAATAGACATATAGCTCTTCATGATTTACCCTTAGGTTTGTCATCTTCACCTTTTTTTAAAAACATGTAATATGTCCTAAGATTTTTGTACTTCTTTTTCTTTTTGAAACACATCAAATAAATCTCATGACACGTCAGTTGGTCATATCTTTTATTGTATCAAAACTCTGCCTTAGCTAATAAGCTTTAAGGAGTCAGGGGCTCTGTCCTAGTGTAATGCCCAAAATTAACCTGTAAGCCCCACCTGCCCAAGGACCAGGTAACTTCCGGGGAAGCTGGGAGCTGTAGCCCTTGGAAAACAACAACGTCTCGTGGGAAAGTAGAGCGGCCTGTGACTTTTGTCCATAAAAGCATCTTCAACATGTGCCTTAGGCCACTCACCTGTGAAATTCCAATGAGTGGTCCTGATCAAAGTCCATCTCTTGGCAAGTATTTAATACTTAGTAAAGCTTGCTTCAAAATTGACCCAAAAGGGCAGATTTTTTTTTTTTCTGGAAAATCTCAGGATTGACACGTAATTTACCTGCTGCTCATATGCCACTGGAATGTGGTAATATTTAAAAATTTAATGAATGAATAAATTTCATGAAGGTAGCTTTAATTTATTAAAATGGGAAATATTCTCACTGCATGTCAGGAAATCCAAGGTGAACATATTACTAGTTCTGAGTTACTGAGGTCTGATTATAGGCCAGGCAGGTAGTGGTAGCATATGCCTTTGATCCCGGCAGAGGTAGGCAGATCTCTCAGTTCCAGGCCAGCCTGATCTATAGAGCAAATTTCAGGACAGCCAGGGGTTCGCAGAAAAACCCTGTCTTGAAAAATGACTTAAAAACTATGTTGTTCCAATCATAAACAAGATCTTTGAGCTATCAACAGACCAAGTAACTTTACTTTTCAGTTTTCTTAACTACAAAATAGAACTTGTAATCTCTGATATCATGAGGATAAAAACAAATCTGCAAACATTGGGCTACATTACACGCAGAGTTACCGGTGAGTGTTATTTGTTATTCCTACAATTTGAAATGGATATTGTATAAATTATTTTGTTAGAAAATACTACTTCATTGATTGTGGTAAATTAATTAGGGCAACACCATTGAGGCAGTAAGCTCTGGGGATACTCCAAAAGTGTTACACTTGGGTAGACATCTTCCTGAAAGCACTAATTTGACCATTATCACATTAGCTTACAGGGAACAGAAGGTCCAGCATCGCCTCAGCCCAAAATTTTTGTGTATATGGGTATTTTCCAATTTCTGAGGACAGATTTGGTCAGGTAACGAGTGCAGTATTTTTTTTTTCAGGAATTTAATAATTTCCACTAATGTGTGTTAGAATATGCTACTACTTCTGAGTTATTGAGGTCTGGCTTAAAGGTGTCTGTTTCAATTTAAAGACTGTGTCGTTGTTCCAGTCCTAACCAGGAGCTTTGAGCTGTCAGCAGACTCCAGGGAAACTTGTCCTATTTCGGCTAGAGTGAGTTACACTTCATCTTCCTGGTGAAAACTGTTAAGCTCCTAGCATCATGAATAACCCCAGCATGCTTTTGGGAAGAGGCAGCATGATACTGCAATTAGCTATAGGGGCTCGACATCAGAAGTACTGATACTAAGATACTAAGTTCTGAATCAGAACTTAAAACACATGACCCCATTCAGGTTTCTTTATCTCAAAGTCGTTTACATTAAATAAACACGCACACACACAAACTCACCGTGTTTATCACAATGCCCACCAGTAGAAAATACTGGGTGATAGTTTCTGTGGATGACATTATTCTTATTGCCAGTTTTTAAAAAATTGTCTGAACTAGCTAGCTATAAAATTTTTGTTTAGTTAAGAAATAAGCAGAAAGACACACACAGTGTATACTCACTTATAAGTGGATGCTAGACCTAAAAGATAGGACAAACATACTAAAATATGTACACCTAAAGAAGCTAAGCAAGAAGGAGGACCCCAGGTAAGATGATCAATCCTCACTTAGAAAGACAAATGGGATGGACATTGGAAGTAGGAGAAAACAAGAAACAGGATAGGAGCCTACCACAGAGGGCCTCTGAAGGACTCTACCTAGCAGTGTATCTAAGCATTTGCTGAGACTCATAACCAAACCTTGGGCAGAGTGCAGAGGATCATATGAAAGAAGGGGAAGTTAGTATGACCTGGAGAGGACAGGAGCTCCACAAGAACCAAATATATCTGGGCACAGGGGTTTTTTCTGAGACTGATTATCCAGCCAAGGACCATGCATGGATATAACCTAGAACTCCTGCTAGCCCATGGCAGCACAGTATCTAATTGGTTCACCCTAGTACGGGGAACAGATACTGTCTCTGACATGAACTCAGTGGCTGGTTCTTTGACCTCCCCATCCCCAAGGGAGGAGCAGCCCTGCTAGGCCACAGAAAAGGACAATGCAGCCAGTCCCGAAGATACCCGATAAGCAGGGTCAGATGGAAGGGGAGGAGGACCTCCCCTATCAGTGGACTTGGAAAGGGGGAGGGAGGAGATGAAGGAGGGAGGGTGGGATTGGGAGGGAATGAGAGAGGGGGCTACAGCTGGGATACAAAGTAAATAACTGTAATTAATATAAAAAATAAAAATTTAATAAAATAAAAAGAAGTAAGTGTTTCTCCATTTTCTAGGTCTTCCTTTACTCTTGGGAAACCTGAGAGTTTAGTAGGGGGTGTGTGGATCCCCGTGTCACAGTGGCTCAGGGCTGAGGAGCTAAGGGTGTGCATCCCGGAACACGCATGTGCTCCCTCCCTGTCAGTCTTCCCTCTGACGGGGAAGGGTGACAGTCTACACTTTGTTGGAGAAACTTGGAGGACCAATGCACTTGTTAACCCGTGAGGCTGAGCTATTTTGAAGTATCTTTTCTACTTGACTGGAGGCGAAATTTTGAAGCAGTCATTTGTCTCTGTCATTCCAAGACCTCCCTCCCCTGTGCCTTTATCCCTTTCTCTCTCACACTCTGTCAGTGAATTCTCCTACTTAGCACCACCAATTAACTGAAAATGTTTTCAAAGAGCGGCATGCTTCAGATACATTTGTGCTTTAGAAAAGACTGAATCGTGTGTTTTGGGATGACAGTGTTTCAGTCACTTGGCCAGTCGTGGGGGGAGAGAATGGTGGTCTGGGGACAGGTCATAGAATTCTGTTCACACAGCCTCTCTGCTGTGTTCATCTGGAACCCACTGTGTCAGTGAATCAGGAAGATCTATTATAGTACTTTCCCGAGTCCTGTCACGGGATGTTGGTTGGATTTTATACTGTGGTTAAACACAAAGGGGCCAAACAGGTGCCCTCACTGAGAAGAATCTTCACACCCTTAGCTTCGCCGTGTTAATAGACGTGATTGAAGTTTTGAAAACGGGTGGGATCAGCTGGAAGCCTTTCCTCTGATCATCTGTTCCCTTGCAGTTATCAGCATGTGTGCAGCACTGAACTTTCCTTAGAGAACACCTCTCTCCAGCCACTGAGTAAAGTGAGGCAGAGGACAACCCAATGCCTCTCCTAAGGCATCCAAAGGTACGGCTGCTGAACTGAATTAATGGGTTGAATGTTTCTCTTTCTTTGTAGACTCTGCCTGGTGCCCAAAGAGAACTGCAAAATCTTCTATAACCTTAGCCCCGTAGCTCAGCCTGACAGACTTTCTAACCTAAGGTACATACTAGAACTTACTAATGCCACCCATCTGGGATTCTTTCGAGGAACAGGCATGCTTTGTTGGGCCCTGCTGTCCCGGCTCCCCTAGTGGTAGGGGAATTAGTGCTTAGTTTCATACTTACACTGAGAGTATGTGGTGGCAGTTCCAGTGACGCTGAACCTGTTGAGGTGGAGTCTGTGTGTGACCACATTCTTCTGGGGTTGGAACAGGACAATGTGTACCTTGGGGGCAAACAAACAGCCCAAGACCACGAAACCACTCAAGCTAACGGAGATGCACATTGTTGTCGTCTGCACCTACAAGAAAGGTTGGCTGATGAGTATCCATTACATAGAAAATTCCATCACGCAGTCAGCTACAGAGAACACTGAGGCAAGCCCAAGTTAGAAAGCCAGAATTGGTCATAGCTGCTCTTTTCATAGCAAAGTCTATGTGCTAATTATATTGGATCTGCTGTGTTTGGGATATTCATGAAAACATTGTTTAGGATTTCAAAGCAAGCATCATTTGTGTGGGTTGCTGCTGACTGCTTGCCAAAACTTCACATAGACTTTCTTGTTTGCTTTGTATTTGTATAATGGTATTTATGCAGAACCAGTGAAGTCAGAATCTTAAATAGTAAAATATAAATATTCAGTGATAGATGGTGGGTGGTTGTTGTCAGTGAACTTGGCTTGTTCAGAGTTCACTTGTCCAGTTCCTTTAGTGAGTCACATGATTAAAATTTTGTGTTTACCTACAACGTTCTGTTCTATTTTACACTGCCAGTTCCTACGGCCCTGACTTTATCTTCAGATTCATAGCAACATTTGACATCAGTAATCATTTTGTTATTTTGGCTTCCTAGCCATATTCTTCACTAGACTGGGTGATTGTTTCTGATCACTTCTATTTGAACTGTAGAGTCTGGTTAGACCTTGGCTCTTTAATATCTCCCCCTCATCATTAAGTTCTCATGACTGAGATACCTGCTATATTTTTGATGTCCAGATATTTACTAGTTCAGACTTATTCTCTATGCTCCAGATTTACATATTCAGCTGTCCCTAGCACACAATATGTTTATTTAATGGGAATAAGGAAGTACATGTAACCCAAGCTTGATCTCCTTTCCTAAATGCTCCAGTCTGAGCAATACAACTGTTTAAGAATCTTGTGAGTCATCTTTGATCTTTCTGCTTCTTTAAACTCACTCATCCAATCCAACAACGGTTTATGTTGGCTGATAATTCTTAGCAGGTCTCTTGTTTCTACATATCTCATAAGCAAAGGCTCTAACTACCTCTGTTCTGAACTAGTTCTTCATGGCTATTCACCTAAAGAGCTTAGAAGACAGAGGAGTCTACTCGCAGTGCAAGAGGCCAGCATTCCTCTGTGTGAAAAGGGAGGCTCAGAGACTGCGACAAATAAATACTCATAGTCTGGCTGTTGTTATTGATGTCAGTCACAATGTGTTGTTGTGGTTTCTCTTTTGTCAGAAGCAACAAAGCCATCAGGATAAGTTGTTATCTAATAAGTAGAACAAAATCTCATAAACTGCAGTCTTCGGCAGTTTTGACAGTAAAGATGGAGTTCTCACTGAGCTACGGCTTCATAAAAAGGGAAATACGATAGTCTCAAGGACCAAAGAAGCTCTATAAACATCAATAGCAAACATGTTGGCAAAACTGTGTGGCCACCTTGGTATGCTCAAACAGTGTTCTACTTATTGCTTATTAAGTGGAAGGGTCTGGAGAGGGGATTGAATGCTGGGATACAGGAAAAGGGTTGAAAGAGAGCAGCTGGTCCAGAGCTCTGACTGTTTCTGAATCTTTTTCTCAACAGTAGTATTCAAGTCCCTTTGATACTAAAGACAATATTACATTTGTTCTGATTGAGCCAAAAGTTTTAATTCTTTTCACACAGAGTCTTGAGATTTGAACCTCAATAATCAGCAGAAGAGGGACTATCAGAGAAAGCACAGAGCAGATAAGTCATTTGAACTTTGGCTGATTTCCTTGAGAAGCTAAGGGTATAGAGCACTTGGTACTTGTGGGCACAGGGCACTTGGTACTTGTGGGCACAGGACATTTAGTATTTGTGGTACTTGTGGGAACAGGGAATTTGGTACTTTTGGGAACAGGGCACTTGATACTTGCTACAGAAAGAAGGCCATAGTGGGCTTCTCAATACTTATCCCTTAAAGACATTTTTTTGAGATGACCAACGTTTTAATTTTTGCAGGGAATCTGGGTACAAATAGGAGCTTTTGTCTACTTGAGTACATTTGCCTGGAAAGAAAAAGTCTAGGCTATCTACAGGTGAGGTGCTCGTGTGTCTATATGCTTTTGCCTGAATTGGGCTTCTTCTTTCTTCCTTTTTTTCCCTTTATTTCTTATTTTTTTAAAAAATTATTATTTATTTATTTTTTTATTAATTATTATCATTTATTGCAATTTATTCACTTTGTTTCCCCACTGTGGTCCCTCCCACATCCCTTCCCAGTCCTACCCACCCTCCCTCTTCTCTTCCCATGCCCCTCCCTCAGTCCACTGATAGGGGAGGATCTCCTCCCCTTCTATCTCACCCTAGCCCATCAGATCTCATCAGGACTGGCTGCATTGTCTTCTTTGTCAGTTTAGTGAATGTACAGAATGAGTTTTCGTTCTTCCCACCGTGTGTTCATTCCCTTGTCTCATATCCCCTCTTTCTTCTACTGAACCTTTAAACAAGTCCTCTTCCTAGTTTCATGTCTTTGTGTGTGTGACCCATTTAGTTTAGATAGAGCTGCCTGCTTGAACATGGGCGGAATTCTATTTGCTAGAATATGAACAACTTCTCAGTGGCTACACCACTGAAGAAAGCAAGTCTTCTCCCAGCCTCCACTAACTGTCAATAGTCTCTCAGGCAGGATTGGAACCTCATGAGCCCCTGTCCCACACATGATGAAATGGGGATGGGTTCACTATTGTACAGGTCCTGTGCAGACAACAGCCACAGTGAGTTTGTGGGTGTACTGCTTGTGTCATGCCCCAAAGACAGTGTTTCGCAGCAGTAATCATCAGACTCCGGCTTTTATTTTCTTTCTTACTTCAACAATTTTTTTTTGAGCTGTGTTGTGTGTGTGTGTGTGTGTGTGTGTTTCCATGTAGACTCTAGCACTCCACAGTTACTTATTCTTTGTGTTTACAGATACAGAATACAGATTCTGTATTTACTGTTACCCACTGAAAAAAGCAGAGTCTCTGATGAGGTTTGAGATCTGCCCTATACAGAGATATAAAGAGAAGTATTCAGAAGATAGGTTGATACTATAACCATTTAGGAAAATAATAGTAATAAGAGACCTATGATAGGCCCAGCTGTGGATTTTTTTTTTTTTTTTACTGAGGATTGGGCAGGTTTACAGTACCAGCCATGAGTTCCCTTTTACGGAGTGGGCCTTAAATGTGAAATAATGCTCCTCAAAGCTCTAGGTTATTAAACCAAAATCTCAGTGACAGAAGTGTGATACCTATCTCCCTATGAGTCGCTGGTCAGGAGGAATAACACTACAAGTTATTGTTACAGCTCTTGGTTGCTCACCAGAACTTGATGATAAGATCCTATTGCTAGGGACAGGACACAAAAAGATCAAACTACCACTGAGCACAATGCTTCTTCCATGCTGGCCATATTTGTAAGTCTCGAAAGTGCTCTGCATGCTGCTGGGAGAGAAAAGGTGCCAACAATCTATCAGCTGGGAAGCTGAAAAGCTGTAATATTGTTATTTTGTTTGTTTGTTTAGTTTTTTTTTTTTTTTTTTTTGGTTTGTTTGTTTTGAGACAAAGTTTCTCTGTGTAGCCTTGGTTGTCCTGGACTGGCCTTGAACTCATAGAGATCCACCAGCCTCTGCCTCGCAGAGTGCTGGGAATCTTTTTTTAATACAGGCCATCACCCTGTAGTTTAGGCTTCATCTCACTCTCCACCATGATTTTAGCTGCTTTAGCAGAAACACACTGAAGGCTAGAGACGAGTTCTTTCTATCCTTGAGAGTGACAGATGCCTACATACACCAGATACACTGTGCTAGGGAACTCAAGAGAGGGGAGAAATTATAATTTGTATGTTACGCTGGTACCCAAATCATCCTCTTACCTAGATTTTTTTTTTTTTTTTACTGAGGAGGTAAGGCTAAGCTAAGGGCAAGGCACTTGTTTCAGATGAAAATTTAAGGGAGCTCTGACAACTCAATAATTACGAGAAATTATATTTTAATGCTTTTAAAAATTATATTTTTAAAGTCAGAAGTAATGGTAAAAGCTGTGAGGAACACAATCCCAATAATTAATCTAGGAATGGGATCCATAGCAGTGTTGTGCTCTACTGTAAGTCAATCAGATCAGTAAGGTTGGGCCTGTCTTGATCAGAGCACATTCAGGTATCCCTGAGTCCACTTCACATTGCTTTCTAAAAACTGGGACCTGGGGATCAGCATCTCCTATGCAGATGCTGACACACTACAGTTGCTTCTATGGTTGTGAGCAAAAAAGTCTTCTGTGTTTGAATCAGTGGTTACATGTGCTCTGCCTTGTCCCTGGCACTGTGGCAGGTTGCTTTGGTAGATTGAAAATGGTATAAAAGCTGGTTAGACTCCTTGTCAGTTTCTATCTCTACTTCTTTTTTTTTTAAGTTTTATTTTTCTCATTAGTTACATTTTGTTAATTCTGTATCCCAGCTGTATCCCTCATTCTCTCCCCAGTCCCACCCTCCCTCCCTCATCTCCTCCCTGCCCCTTTCCAAGTCCACTGATAGGGGAGGACCTCCTCCCCTTTCATATGACTACGTTTTGTCAGGTATTTTCAGGACTGGCTGCAAAGTCCTCCTCTGTGGCCTAACAGTACTGCTCCTCCCTTGGGAGGTGGGGAGGTCAAAGAGCCAGTCATTGAGTTCCTGTTAGAAATAGTCCTTGTTTCCCTTACTATGGGAAACCAATTGATTACTGAGCTATCACGGGTCATATCTGAGCAGAGGTTCTAGGTTTTATCCTCTCATGGTCTTTGGTTGAGTGTCCATCTCAGAAAAGACCCTGTGCCCAGATATGTTTGGTCCTTGTGGAGCTCCTATCCTTTCCACATCAAACTCCCCTTCTTTCATATGATTCCCTGCACTCTGCCGAGGGTTTGGTTATGAGTCTTAGTATCTACTTTGATACACTGCTAGGTAGAGTCTTTCAGATGCCTTCTGCGATAGACTCCTGTCATACGTTCAATGCATATCTCATTTGTCTTTCTAAATGAGGATTTATCATCATACCCCGTGTCCACTTTCTTGATTA